TGGGTGGGTGGATGGATGGGTGGATGGATGGATGGATGGGTGGATGGGTGGGTGGATGGATGGGTGGTTGGGTCGATGGATGGGTGGATGGATGGGTGGATGGATGGGTGGTTGGGTCGATCGATGGGTGGATGGATGGACGGATGGGTGGATGGGTGGATGGACGGATGGGTGGATGGGTGGGTGGATGGATGGGTGGATGGATGGGTGGTTGGGTCGATGGATGGGTGGATGGATGGATGGATGGATGGATGGATGGGTGGATGGGTGGATGGATGGATGGATGGGTGGATGGGTGGGTGGATGGGGGATGGGTGGGAGGATGGATGGATGGGTGGATGGATGGATGGGGGATGGGTGGGAGGATGGATGGATGGGTGGATGGATGATTGGATAGACAGGCTGGTGAATGGATGGATGGGTGGACTGACAGGCAGATAGACAGGTCGACTGAGGAGAGACATTGGCAGAACCGAGCTGGACAGGCAGCCAGAGTGGGGGTGAGTAGATGGCGGGTGTGTGGACACAGAAGCCGTCACCCCAGTTTGTCACAGGCGGGTGGACTTGCCCATCCTCAGCCAGTGTCCCCTGCTTCCCCACCAAAAACCCAGCCTCCGTGTGAATCTGGAGGTCACAGCACTGAAACTGGCAGGGGAGAGTCGGGAGCCCCAGCCCATTTGTGTGAACATGCGTGCACGCACGCACGCACACACACACACACACAGACACACATGCGGGAGGGTCCCCGACCGTGTCACTGTGTGCGACTTTCCGGTCAGCACAGCCCCAGGCACTCACTGGCCCTCGGGGAGGACACGCAGGGCTGGACCCTCCCCGTGGGCCGGGCACAGCCTAGACTTCCAGGTCAGCCAGGCCGGGTCCACGCTGCACGCCTGGAAGTGACCCTGACCCAGGAAGGCCAAGCGTGGGGCCAGCTTCCTGCTCCCCGAGACACCATTACGCGGGGAAAGGTCCCCGCGCGTCCCAGACGACCTCCACGGCCAGCAGGACTGGATCATGAGTCAGGGCATCACGGCGGTGCCGTATTGATAAGCAGACTGATCCAGTTGTGGGTGCCAGTGCAGTGCTGAGGAGGTGGTTGGAGAAACTCTGAGGGTGTAATGAAAGGAGGACCTCTGGCTGGACCCCTTCCACCACACTGTGAGCGTCTTTCCTCCCCACGCCCGCCCGCCATGATGTTTCTGCCTTGGAGCAGCTGACCATGGACGGAACCCCCGAGACCATGAGCACAGGAAACCTCTCCTCTTTAAACTGGGAGTGTTGGGCATCTTGGTGACAGCAACAGAAAGCTCTTCTGTCTCCAGCTCCGGGTTTGTTGAGCACGGAGACGTCACAGAAAGGGCTCGCTCCATCCCCAGCGCTGCCCTCCAAGATGCGTCCATTCCTGTGACTCACCGCTGACCAACACAGTCTTCCTCCTCCTTCCTCTCCTCCAGCTGCCCGGCCCTGGGAGCTGCTGCCCTCAGCGTCTCACCAGACTGCATTCTGTGAGCTCTTCTCAGGTTCAGTGAGTGAAGAATGTCCTCGTTTCCCTTTCTTCTACGTAATCTGGTTGGTGGAGACCAACATGGAAGCCAACATGGGAGACACTGGCCCCCTGGCTCCCCAAGGAGGACCACCCTTAGGCACCAGGGAACATACATGTGTTAGGCAGCTTGACGTCACTGCGACGAAATACCTAAAAGTAACAGCTAAGGTGAAGAGAATTTCGATTCGGGATCACAGTTTCAGAGGGTTCAGTCCATGGTCGGCTGCTCCAATGGTCTCAGAGGGTTCA